TTAGTCAAACCCACGCAATTGCTTTAAAGCCATACATTCCATCTAAACTAATTGGACCATCTCTAGAGTCCACGCAAAAGCATTGTTGACTGGTTTACCAATTAAGAGAGAGTCAACAAATACTTCAAATTAATCTCAATGTGAAAAACTAAACGTCTAGAATACCCTACTAACCTCCAAACCAGCAAACCCTAGTTTATGGTCAAATGCATTTTATATACCAATGACTAAGCATCCGCTAAGCAAACTCCAACAACTGGTTTTGCAAAAATTAGCTAAATGGTGCTGGCCTCATATGAACAACCTCCAAGGTCTCCGTTCAACCTTGCCAGACCCACTCCATCTGCCTCTAACAACCTAGGATAGGTGCAAGGAACATCCAAGGAGTACTAGTCGTGAACCTTTGGAAAGCTAAGGTGCAAATAGGGCGTCCGGATCAAGATTGAATTGTAAACCCGGATTGGACCTTGGGAAAATGGGTTGACGCCTATCCTGTCCCACAGTCTAAAAATGGGTCAAAAAATTCCCAACCCAGATGCTTGATCCGTGTGGATTACAAGTTTGACCAGGCCAGTGAACCCGGGACAAGTTGCAACGGTTTTATTGTTGAGGAACTAGTTGGAAGGCGATCTTTTGGGGTGTGGGGGCCGGCTCAACCCTGGCAGACGGCGGTAGGAAGGACTTTGCTTTGATCTCTTTCCCTAAGCTCTCCAAACGGAAAAACTTCTTGTGAGAGCCTCTACCCACCTTCTTCCATCTTTCTCGTCCAAAGCCCGCAGTCAAACCCTCGCCGGCGGCGATTTCTGGCGAACCCGAGGGCTTAAACGTTCCAAAGGCTTCCCTAGACTCGATTCCAAAGCTTTTTGAGGCGCTCAAGTTCAATAGGAGAAATAATACGATGACAGGTCTACAGCTCAACCATTCTTGAAGATCTCCTAAATCCATTTGTTTGGATTGGAGGTAAATAGAAACCGTAGTTAGATCATCTTAGGGTTAAATATCATTTTGAAAGTGCGTTTTTAGATTAAATAGTCTATACCCCATGAATGCTCTTACAGATTATGATATACGATGTGTTAAATTTACACATCAATTTGATCCATCAGATCCAAGAACGAAAGCGAAAAATGATTAGGGCTCATTTTACGCTCTATAACGGGCTTATTGTGATATGGACTGTTGCATATGTAATCAACGTTCGAGACGCATCTTCCTCGGTCTCGATTCGACCATTGGGATCATCCCGTAATCTCGCGCCGCCGGTTCGACGTTGGTGCAAGCTATTAGTTTACTATTATTTTATTATTCATTATGTATTATTATTATTACTTATTATTATTATTATTATTATTATTACTTAATATTAGTTGTTTAAACATGAAATATTGATTTTTAGGTCTTTTTATTATTAATTAATAATTATCATTTATTCTTAAATTATTTGAAATAGTAAATTACTTAATATTATTTAACTAATAAAGTTAAGTTAAATTCTTAATTATTTTAGATTAAAAATTATTATATGATGAGTTTTAAATTATTTTTAAATGTTCTAACTTTATATATTTTAAGTTTAGTTTTAATTAATAATTATTTTTAAAATATTAATATTATTTAAATATAGCTTTTAATCATTTAAACTTAAAGGTGAATAACATTATCTTTTCTAATTTTCAAATTATTTTATGATGGGCATAGATAAACTCAAAGTTTTTCAGAAATTATGAATTTAAACTTTGACAATTATATTATCAAATAACAAATTTGGATTTTTTTAGTTTATTTTTTGTAATTATGTTATTAGGTAATATTATTCTAATAATTATTTTTGAAATTACAAATTATTTACAACTTTTTCAAAACTACATTCGGGTGGTCTAGTGGATCTCCTCTAATATTTTATTTGATTACAAATTTGTTTTTTTTTTAATTATATTGATTTCTTCAGAAATTTTGATATTTATGAAGTATTTTGAATTTATTTTAAAAAAATTACTATGATATTAATTTAAACATTAAACATTCATATAGAATAGCATTCATAGGGAGTGAATTTAGTGAATGATTGCAGTCCCCAACCATTCACTAAGTCACATTGTTAAGTCATGCTTAAGTTTTTTCTTTATCGTTTATAGGCATGCACTAGAATGATGAAAACTAAAACTTAGGCTCTCCTAGATCTAAGGATATGGTGGTTACTATTTTGTGTGACTCCCTACATTGTACCGCGTCCAAAATTTTATCTTAATCCCTCTTCTTGAAACTTTGTTTAATATGAATTTAGAGTTGTAGACATATTGCTATAATCCGCGGCTAATCAAGA